ACACACACACACACACACACACACACACACACACACACACACACACAGGCAGGCAGACAGATAAAAGATGCATCCACTGAGGTGCTCCCCAGCCCGTCGTCGCAGACTTGGAGAAGATAAATCTCCGGCGAGGAGATTTGTCACCAGAAGTACTACACAAATCAAAAGACCGAAGTATTAGATTATCTCTGTATACGAGCCGCTACGGAATGTTCACAAGCTTATCTGGAAACAGGATTTACAGTTATTATTGTTGATTTATTTTTGAACTGATGAGATCAGGATGTAAACAATAGGTGGCAAACTTCATAAAAATGTTTACACTGCAAAAACTGTCCATCTATACGGAGCCCGCGAGGRGACATGGGAGTTTTTTTTTTCTTTTGCGTTCCCTCGCAAAAGTAGTTTATCACTGTTGTGCCTGCCGGTTTATTAGCAAACTTCACGTGTTTACCATTGGCAAGTTAGCCTACTGCTTTAATTCAGCTTCAGGATGAATATATCACAMAGCCACGTGTGGAAGTATGTCATATGCTGATATTTAACACAGTGCAGCCACGCAACATCAATGTCAATTTCACGAACTTGTGGCGACACATCTTGTTTTGGTAAGCGGATATTTAAAATTAAAGTCTGATTTAATTCAGTTCATATACAAAACAATCTTTTGCGTGGGAACGCAAAAGGAAAAAAAATCCACCCCCGTGTCCCCTCACGGGCTCAGTACATCTACACAAGTCTGACAAAAAAATAATAATAATAAAATAAAAGATTTTTGATCTTGTTCTGAGACCAAGCAAGAGCAGAATGTGTTAGATTATAAATCTTAGCCTGGATTTTTTTTCTTATTTCAAGACGTATCTTATTCCACAAGATTGAAAGACTAGATGAATTGTTTCTGCAGTGTAAGAAATCCTGACTTCCCTAAAAGAATCACTTTTAAAAATGTGCAAAGTTCAATAAAAACTACGAGGTCGTTCTTCACGCACGTTGCAGAATGTGCAGAGTTGTTAACCAGCAGGTTTAAACTGCCCCCCACCCCCCTCACGCACGCCCCTGCTCTGAAACCTGACAGGAGAGTCAAAGTTGACTTTGCCCCCTTCGCAGCTGATAACAGAGTGGGTGGGAGCGACAACGTGTGCTAATCTTGGCCCGCCGAGAGCATTTACATGGCCCGCCGACTGCCTCGCAGCGTCTGAGTGACTGACTGAGTGCTCATAAAATGTGATAATGATGAGCCTGGGAGTCGTGTGTGTGTGAGTGTGTGAGTGTGTGCAGTCATGTCTGGGCAGGTCACCCCCCTGGTTTGAGGTAATGTGCACCTCCGTCTCTGAGGTAATTGATAAGAGCTCCAGAGATGACGGAGGGCTGATCTTCTGTTCTCTGCACAGCTGGGTTTTAAAAAAAAGGACCTCTGGCTCATTACTCAGAGCCAGCTGTCAGTCAGAAGTGCGCCACCTGCTGGAGCAGATCAGCCAGAGCGCCTGTTTTCTCCTCTATGAGCCTGTTGTTCTCAGGAAGAAAAAAAAGGGGGGGCTCACCATGGCTGTGCCACAGAAACATTCTGTTCTCTCGCTCCTCGTGCACACGCCGAGTCCAAAGAAATAAAAACAGAAAAAAAATTACGAGAGGTAGTGGGAAAGAGTTGGGGGGTGGAGGACGGTTTGTGCAAAACAAATAAATAATGTCAAGTCTCCAGGCCACAGGAATTCCACTCTGGCAGCGATCCTCCAGCTGTAACAGTGGGAGAAGAACACAGGGCTCTATCTAACCCAGATGTGTTCTCTGCTGCTAACCACTGGAAAGTCTTACCCCCGCCCCCCTTCAAGGCATTTGAGCGAACCTTCTTTTTCCTACAGCCGCACCTGACTGACTGGTCGCTGCTGCACGTGGGCCTCACATGACCACTTTTCAAAGACACGTTCCGTTCTTTTAAAACCAGTGCAAAAATTAAAAATAAAAAATAAAAAAATTAAAAAGGCAGAAGACTCTGCAGGCAATCAGCTGAGGGTTTGTGTGTGGAGGGGGGGTTCAGGGGTCGTGCTCCCGTCTGGGACACTTGCTGTAAGGAATGCTGGGAGAGGACAAAGCCAGATGGGAGCTCTCTGCTGCTGTGTTCAAGACTGTCAGCAGGCTCCCTCCTCCTCCTCCTCCATTCTCGAGGCACAAAAAAGCTGATGGGGCCATCCTGCACGACCAAAATAAAGCAGTTAACAGACAACCTTGTCTGAACCCAGCTTTCTGCTGCTGCTGCCTCCTCTCTCTCCCCCCAGCCAGGGGAAGACAGATACCAGAAGCGTGCATAAGCTTCCTGAGGTTGTGAAACAAGAAACAAAACAAAACAAAAAAAAAAAGCAGTATTGCACAGGAAGTGGCCATCCTGATTATCTAGGCTTTGTGACAGCTGCAAGCACCGCAAGGTTAACTGAAGACAAGATCACATGATGGACATGAGGAAGTTAGAGTGATGCTGTTTTGTTGTGGGAGAAATTCCTTTCAAATATTTACAATACGAAATGATTTGAATCAGTCAGGTAAAAATAAAAAAATAAAGTGAGGTATAAAATTAGAGATCCGTTTTTATTTGACATGTCTGTATAATAACAGGGAATGGCATGGCCTCGCGGTAAACAAAGGATCATTCAGCTCTGATTCAAGAAAACATGATTCCAACAATGATCCGGATGAGGTCGCGCTAGAGACGCTTCAACTGTCTGTGGGAAAATAAAACCACTACTCATCCAGAGCAGAACAATAAAAGAAAAAAAAACAAAAACAAAATGAAATTAAAAAGGAGCTCCTCCCTCCTCCTCTTTTGGGGAGATAAGAAAATTTAAACMTCAGAAACTTGATCAGAAACGAGTCGTTATGGAGGAGAAAATACCCACATGCCGTTCTGGGGAAAAATAAATGTTTGCTCACACAATTAAGGAAAATTTGTGTGTGTGTGTGTGTGTGTGTGTGTGTGTGTGTGTGTGTGTGTGTGTGTGT